AAACCACCACGACCAGCACCTTAGGTTTTTCATCAACAGCCCTGAATTTGGTAAGTCTACCGTGTATTTTGTTTTGTTTTGTTTAAATTTAATTTCGATAAACAGTCTTTTTTTTTTTTTTTAACTGGAAATATGTTTGTACTTTGTGCACAGTGAATGTTTGTTATAAATAAATTCGAATCCAAGTAATTGTAACTTTAGAAGTTATTGAATGTGAAAAATACGTAATGTTACTTCAAATTACAACAGTGTAACGTTTTGGCGGTTTTACGTGGGGGACAACATTTCCCATAATGCATTGCATTCTTGCCCGGGAAGTTGACGGTGAAAGTTTGAACTTTCTGCCAAAAGCCGAAAACTTGTTAACCCTGCTGTCCGTTTCTAGCGGTTGTCGTATTCGTGCACGTGCGTATTGTGAGTATACTTATTTCAATAACTGTCCGCGTTACACAGTCAGTAGTTTACGCTGTTGAGCTGTGTGTATGTGTGTGCTAGCATGAAACGAACAATGCTAAACAACATGAGTGTGCTATCATGATGGTAATTAGGCACATGTTTGTATTTCTTCGTAGTCTCAAATGTGTGGTTGTGAGATAATCTCGAAATCCTTTTAACAGTTCAGAGGGGTATTCCACAAAGCGAGCTCTACAAGTCAAGGCTTGCGAAAAAATGCATCGCCTGATTCAGCCTAACATTACACACCGGCCGGACTCGGTGCTACGAACGAAGTTCAGCTGAATTGTTCTTGCTAATTCAAGCAAGGCTCAACCAGCCAGACTGAGGCGCAGCTGCGTGACATTTTCACTTCTACGTTAATAAATCATTAATATGCATAATAATAAATTAACAATTCTGTTCCTAATTAATTTTTGTTCATTTCTGTGTATTTCTGTTCATGGACAGGTGGTTGCAGAGTTCCACCGAATCAACAATGTTAACCTACACACTCAATTCTACAAGGAGCCGGACAGACACATGCCTAGACTCATCACTTTGTTCCGAGACAAGGCCATCAAGACTTGCAAGATTGCAGAGGAGCTAGCAAAGTTCATGAGAATTTATGAAATTCAGGTAAATTTTTCATTTCACATGATTCAGAATCACATTAACTGATGGTTTGTACACAGCTGTGAGAAGCCATAGTGTGAATTGCTTCAACTGTGCCTTGGGATTAAGTGGTTATGCCATGGATACAAAGTTGTCATTTTAGGAGAAGGACATCTTGACGAAATGCATCCTATCAAAACGTGTTGTGTTAAAAAGATTTATCAGCTTCAATTTAAAGAAGTCCAAACAAGTACTGTTTTTGTAAAAATTAGTTTACATTTTGAAGTTTTTCCTTTGGGAGTTATTCAAGTATTTACAATGGAAACTTATTAATTTAAAATGTGTATTACTAAAAATATGGTGAACCAAAACACTGAATGTACCATCTATGGCAAGGGTAGGGTAGTGTTACCATTCTAGATTGACAAGTTTAGCCTGTTACACAAAAAGTTTGGACACCCCTGATCTATAACAATGACAATCAGAATATGGCTATCCAACACTTTGTTTTTACTCTGCATTTGTCTAACTACTATTCTAATAGATACTGTATGTTCATCTAGGAACAGCGTGATGTAAATATAAGACAGGCCCTCGCCCTTCGTGCACTTCCTGTGTACCTGTGTGAAGATGCCTCCAAGTTCTTCAGGACTTGTGATGTAAGTGTACTGGCCTCAGCATCAACCCCTTTGCCTAGCTGTTCAGTCGAACATATGACATCA